TAGCAGCATTTTTATATACCAAGATTTTCAAATTGACTTCAGGCTTGTGCTTGGTCTGAATCTTTAACATGTCTGAGATTTGAATTTGCTCGGTAATGACAGCTGTCAGTATCAGTTTCAGATCAACTCGCACTCCGGTCAGGCTCAGCTTCACATTAGCAAAAGACCAGAACAATGTAAACACACACACACACACACACACACACACACACACATGCTTTCCTGCGAGGTCACTTCCGTTGCTACCACGGCTGCTCCAGTACACCCTGGTGGATTGGAGTCAGCAGGCCGGCTGTCAGTGCTACAGCTGTATTTTACATTTTCTTTTTTAGATTCCAGCTCACTTTGTTAGTTTCTCATGCACAAACACACACCTAATCTGCGCGCACATGATGTTGCACATCCAAGTGTTACAGTTCATCCCCGCCTTCCAAATTTTTGGAACAGGACTGTTCATTGTGCGTCTCCCCCCCTTTTTCCCAGCCCGACGGGACACTTTCTTCCCGTTCACACCCACTGCTCCCCGGGTGCAGCAGGAGCCAGGTCTCTATGGAAACACAGTTACAAAATGTCAGAGCGCTCTTTGGACTCTTTGTTTGGAGCGATCAGCTCGTCATCCGCACATGCTCCCCAGCAGACACACAACCAGCTAAATGTTCAGCAAAGCACCACTGGCACAGCTGCCTCTGACTGAGCACTCTGTGTGTGTGTGTGTGTGTGTGTGTGTGTGTGTGTGTGTGTGTGTGTGGTTTTAGTTGTATTTGAGTGTCTGAAGTATATCACTTTAGGATTTATTTCAGTTTATGTTTTTCATTTATTTGAAAGCTCACAAAAACATACTAATTTAAACACTAATTATTCATTTGTCTTCATGAAATGCATGATCCAGATGCAGATATATATGAATAGATGTGCTCTGTAATATTTACGTTGCACCTTATCAGGATCAGATTAGTATGATGCATGTTCTTCTGATACTTTTTCACACTCTCTTATGAAAATAATGCTTTTGCTTAACAGACTCAGTTTTACCTCCTGCTCTAGATAATCAGAAACGGTGGAATACAAGACTTTTTTGTTTTCCTTATTTGTAAGACTTTCACAGCTGAGAACACTGAACCAGCTGTCAAGTACGGTGGTGGTAGATCACACTTTGGGTCTGCTGAGCCAAGCATTTAAAAGGCTTTAATTGGAATAGAAAGTGGTTCAGAAATAGTGTCTTCTTTGGGATAAAAGGCATGAACTTTTTAAAGCAGCGAAGAGGAAGAGGAAAATTTCAATGGCAAAATAGAAGCTCTTGAACTTGATATTTAAGCACGAAATCACTCTTGGACTTGTCACTTGTAGTTGTTATGGAGCAAAGAGGATGTGAAGTGTTGAAGAACTGAAGCTATTTTCAAGTATGGCTTTTCTCAGATATACTTCTGAGAAAAATTTCTCAGAGGAATTTCTAACCTTATAGGTATTCTGAATCAAGCAAGTTATTTAAGAAAGCCACAAAGCACAACACTGTTTGAAGTTTAAATACTGTCAATAGTTTCAATGTCTGTTAGATCTGAACTATTCCACAGTTGCATTTTGCTTTCTCTATTCAAAAACTAGTGTTGATGTGTATTTGGGGTCGTTTTCTAGTTGAACACCGTGTTAAAGTTGACCGGATGTTTGGCAACAACGCAGAAATCACTAAGGCTCAAAACTATTATAAACTGGAATATTCTGGATACAAATATCCAGAATTAGTCCAGAATGTTTTCAGAAACTTGTTGGTGGGTACAAAAAGTGTTTGTTTTCCCTGCAACTTGGAAAGAGACATTTAACCAAGTATTAGTGTTAATCTAATCCTGTTTGGATCAGTGAAAAAACCCAGCAGTAATTCAAACATGTGCACACTATTCTGGGTGTTAAAGTTCATCAAGTAATCATAGACAAATAGCACATTATTAAAAGCTCAAACTTACTGAGATTCATTTCCAGAAATTGTAAATGCATATAGTATGCATTTATAGTCTACAGAGGAATGCATTTCATTTCCATCTTTTTTGCTAGTGCTAGATCTTTACAGCGAAGCCATTTGAATGCTAATGTGCTGGTTGTGTCCCTCCACAGAACGAGTCAGCAGTGGGCGGCTGGTTGGAACTTTCCTGTGTGTGTGCGCCCTGACGGTGCTGTGTGGGCTCGTGGTGGTGGCCGTGTCACGGTTGCTGCTGCAGAAGAAAGTCATGCCACGAGGGGGCGCCGGTGCGGATTTAGGCTACCACTGCACTGGAAAGGTTAGTCCTCAACTGTCGTCTCTCATGAGCACTGCAGGATTTTAATTGAGGGGAAGCCCTACGTCCCTTGAGCCCCGAGAGGCGTAAGGGAGACCTTCAATCCAGAGAAAATGTATGTTAACGAGTTTTTCCTCCACTGAAGACGGAGAAATTTGAGTCTGCTCTGTGGGGTACAGCTGTTTTTAACATTTCCTCCCAACTCCCTGCTCAGCATCTAAAGTTCCCGGATTTTTGACCTTGCACTGACATACAGCACCTTTGAGGAGCACGGGTTTGAAGAAATATGGAGATGCAGAAGAGATGTGTTGTCAGGATGTGTGGGCTTAAATTGCTCAGCCTGGCTCAAGGGAGATTTGAATCATCGTGTTTATACCTCATAGCAAAACTGCAAAACAGTTTAATGGAACTCTCTGCTTTGGCCCTTTAATGCCTATACTTGTTTTTGGTAGTATTTGAAGCCTCAATTTGCTCTGTTAATGTTAATTACTCTCAAGGGGAGTTTAATTCACAGCACTGATGGTGTGTTACAATTTACTCACTTATGTGTTTCATAATACAGAAAACTGATGTTCTGAAAGTTGCTCAAGTCCACCTCAATGAGGCCACTGTTGAGTACACAGAGATTATACATCTCATGTTTTTGTTATTTAAGAAAACATATGACAAAGCCTCTGAAACTCAGACAGCCAAAGCTTCAAACAGGAAGTTGAAAAGGTTGTTTCATTATTTGCTCCATTTTGCATAACTCTTTGAGAGCAGTCCAACACCTGATGCCAGATACTTACATGTAAAAGGTGCTTGTGAAGATTCAACGTTAAACCAATCCTGTACCGACATGGGCTGACTCTCCACTCATGGAAGAAGAAGGCGTTACTTCATTAAAACATTAAAAACTCAGATCACTTTTAGAGTTGTCATCACAAATCCCTGATCTTTACATTTGTTGAAGGGTGTTGTGGGAACATAGCGGTCTACAAACTTGACTCTGCTGTACCACTTCTGACATGAGGAATGGGGCAACATTCCAGCTATTGTGAGAAGTTCGTAGAAAAAATAGTGTTGGACCCAAGCCATGCAGTTTAAAAAGCTATTCTACCAAATACTAAGCATGTTTTTGCAATCCTGTTTAACCTAAAAAGGAAAGGAAAGCTATAGTCTGATTTAAAATCAGTGAGAAAAAAAAAAAACAAGTTCTGTTTTCCAGCTGCATATTTTTATCAGGTAGTTGTCTACCAGTATTCTATATATAACACAATACAATACGGTACAGTACAATGCAATAGGAACCGTTTTGTAGAACAGAACATGAAAAGACAATCTTGATATCTTGATGATTAAAGCTGGTAGAGACATCAATGTGATGCTCAGGCTGTATATGGTGCATCTATAAAAGGGAGCTAAATACAAAAACGCTACTCTATTATTTCCATTTCACGATACTGAAGGTTGTGGTTGTAACGTAACGAAACGAAAATGTTTATGGCTCACCTTTACCTTTACAAGGCGCTGATTGTTTTTGCTGGGATGTGGGACACTTTTGCTAACTGTGCGTTTCTGTCATCTGCCAGGATCTCTCATATATTCCTACAACCAATGAGAAAACGGTGACCTACAGGAGGGACCGTCCGCCGGACCAGCCCGTGGAGATGCACATACAGGTTCCCAAGATGTCTCTTGATGATCACTGGCAGTTCTAACCAGGGCACAAAGGTTGAAGTCTGAAGGAACGCGTCAAAGACAGAAAGAAGAAGAGCTGGACTGGAAACTTCTTTTCTGCTCCCTACACTCCCAGACATCAAGAAAACTGTATTTGAAGGACAAGACGATGCTAAACTTGACTCCAAAACCTCAATGGGGATTAGACTCTTTGATATGAACTAACCAAACCATGGGAGACTTTTTGACTACAGAGGCCAGTATCTTTTGAATCAAGATGAAACAAAGTCGCCCACCTCTTCTTCCTCTGCAGCAGAGAGAGGGGCCACAGGGTAAAGAGGGATTGTGAAGGTTCCTCTTTTCTTAGATATGCAGAGCAACTTGTCTGTCACATGGATGAGTGTGAGAGTGTCTGTGTGTGTTGTGCCTCTGGTTTCTATTTATGATTTGAAAATGTAACACTACATGTTTGAAGTTCATATTTGTTTTAGAAGGCATCGCTCCCCCTCCACCGTCTCTCTGGCTTTGTCTGCCCCCGTGTGGCCAACTCCATGTACTACGACCTCTAAAAAAACACAATTGACCTCAGCTGCATTAACTGTTCCACCAATGACTCCTCGCTCCTACTAACCCCTTTTTTCGTCGCATGTAATGGTTGATTAATGTTATTCTGTGTGTTGACCTGCTCGTTACGGGATGAATTTGCACTAGAAAGCTGCATTGTACTACTGAAAAACTATGGGCACTCTGGGACAGGAGAGCTGTGAACTTTTGGGCATTAGAGGTCGTCTTTGTGCATTCAAAGCTGATGAAACAAATTCACCACCCAACACTGGAACAAGAATGACCAAGATTCATATTTAAGATATGTATAATCGCAAAACAAAAACGGTTATTTATAGCGATGTATTGTCGGACACTTGAGCGCGTGAGCTCTGCCTCACAGCCATACTTTTTCCTGCTCTTGCTGAAGATCTATTTTCCAAAACGTCTGGACAACTTGAGGCTTTAAGGCACGAATGGGCTCAGATGGCACTGAGGACAGCAGTGGAATCTATGTAACCTTTATGCACTAGAAGAGATTACCTGAGACTTTTGCTTTTGCTCAATCCTACTCAAATTTCTAATTTTTCAAGTAGGTTTTTTTTGTACTGTTGTACTTTTTCTGAAAGTTTAAAACACTAATAACTATTTATTTTTGATCGAGTTACAGGAGATCTCCTATAACTCATAATAGTGCTGCACAATAAGACAGATACTGTAGTTTTTTTGTGTTTTTTTTAAGTGAACTGCGGAAGGTTTCAGCAATAAGTAGCATTATTAATCATCTCATCTAATATGGTACTGAGTTTTTACATGAAAACAGCACTTTTTCTTGGTAGATTTGTTGTAAGTTATTGCGTGTGACTGTTTTTATCACAATAAAATGTGCAAGATTTTGTTTAGTCATTACTTGAGTGTATGTGTATGAAACAGCGTAGCCTTATATAAGTAAGTCTTTACCATGTCAAATATCTATCTGAATGTGAAAAAAATAATAATAATGACCATCTTTTGATTTTAATTTTAGCATCTGAATCCAATGAAGTTTCGGTTATAATAGGTGTTTGATTACTGCAAATTTTTTTTTTTTTTGCAAAAATTAGTAATTCTATTTGTTTTTGTTTTTGTTTTTCAAAATAAAACATGTCTGTTGAATTAACTTGTTCAAATTCTTTATGAGAGGTGCAGGACACATCTGGAATCATATTATAGTCTTTATGAAGCAAAAGACCTGTAACAAAACTGTGGCCTATTAATTTAAATTTTTTTTCTAGATCTGCAAGGTAACCGTAATTCAAATTACGGAGAACAATATATCTTACCATCCAGACTCTGAATGGCATCTGAACACTGATGTATCAGAAACTATTAGAGGATGTCAACTCTGCATTTTACACAATTGATCACATAGAGAAACTTGGGAGAGAATTTCTGCTGCTTTTCGATGAGTTTGTCTTTTATAACTCTGAACAAAAATTTGGCATGTGGGGTTCCTCATGGTGCCGTTGTACGACCACTTCTATGCAATATCGACATGCTCCATCTAGTTTAGTTTGCAAGCTGTGCCTCAACTGATTCTTAAAAATTACTGAAAACATTTTGAAAATTTTGATTTTTGCAGCAGTTCTTTGCTTTTTTTGTGAAATAATTGCATCGAATGTCCACAACAGAATGCTACTAAAAGTACCAGTAATATTTTTAGATGTGTGTGTAGGTGTGTGTGTGCATGTGTGTGTGTGATTACGGTTAAAAACTGTGCACTTATGTTTTACATAATTTTCTGTGAATAGCAACATCCCATTAAGAAAAATGCATCCTTCCTCTTATTTCTAAAATGTCATGTTGTTCTTTATTTTTAAGTCCAAAACTGGAAGTGAAATTCTATTTAAAACATCACAACAGTATTCTCCTACAGGAGAATTTTATAAAACGAAAAAGAAAGCAGGAATTGATATGTTTTTCTTTTTCTTTTCAAAAGGTAATGTAACATTGCCAATTCTAAACAGGTTTTATTGCTCTTTGAGTTGAAGAGGTTGCAATACAACCCTGTCTGACCTCAAGTTATTAAGTAGTACTACATTGTTCCACATGCCTAAGCTAATGAGAAAAAGAAACTTTACATTTCTGTGCAGCCAGAGAATCTATTTGTCTTCATTGTCATGTAGTGGAAAGATCAGAATATTCTCCAACTTAATCCAGACTACATAGAATTAATTTTATTGTCCCAGAATTTGTGACATTTGACTCACATGTGACTGAAAACCGCATAGCATGAATGTAGGTGCTCAGATTTCAGCCTGCTGCAATCTCTGATTAAACGTGTGTCATTGGCACAGAATGAATTTGGCAANCCCGGATTTTTGACCTTGCACTGACATACAGCACCTTTGAGGAGCACGGGTTTGAAGAAATATGGAGATGCAGAAGAGATGTGTTGTCAGGATGTGTGGGCTTAAATTGCTCAGCCTGGCTCAAGGGAGATTTGAATCATCGTGTTTATACCTCATAGCAAAACTGCAAAACAGTTTAATGGAACTCTCTGCTTTGGCCCTTTAATGCCTATACTTGTTTTTGGTAGTATTTGAAGCCTCAATTTGCTCTGTTAATGTTAATTACTCTCAAGGGGAGTTTAATTCACAGCACTGATGGTGTGTTACAATTTACTCACTTATGTGTTTCATAATACAGAAAACTGATGTTCTGAAAGTTGCTCAAGTCCACCTCAATGAGGCCACTGTTGAGTACACAGAGATTATACATCTCATGTTTTTGTTATTTAAGAAAACATATGACAAAGCCTCTGAAACTCAGACAGCCAAAGCTTCAAACAGGAAGTTGAAAAGGTTGTTTCATTATTTGCTCCATTTTGCATAACTCTTTGAGAGCAGTCCAACACCTGATGCCAGATACTTACATGTAAAAGGTGCTTGTGAAGATTCAACGTTAAACCAATCCTGTACCGACATGGGCTGACTCTCCACTCATGGAAGAAGAAGGCGTTACTTCATTAAAACATTAAAAACTCAGATCACTTTTAGAGTTGTCATCACAAATCCCTGATCTTTACATTTGTTGAAGGGTGTTGTGGGAACATAGCGGTCTACAAACTTGACTCTGCTGTACCACTTCTGACATGAGGAATGGGGCAACATTCCAGCTATTGTGAGAAGTTCGTAGAAAAAATAGTGTTGGACCCAAGCCATGCAGTTTAAAAAGCTATTCTACCAAATACTAAGCATGTTTTTGCAATCCTGTTTAACCTAAAAAGGAAAGGAAAGCTATAGTCTGATTTAAAATCAGTGAGAAAAAAAAAAAACAAGTTCTGTTTTCCAGCTGCATATTTTTATCAGGTAGTTGTCTACCAGTATTCTATATATAACACAATACAATACGGTACAGTACAATGCAATAGGAACCGTTTTGTAGAACAGAACATGAAAAGACAATCTTGATATCTTGATGATTAAAGCTGGTAGAGACATCAATGTGATGCTCAGGCTGTATATGGTGCATCTATAAAAGGGAGCTAAATACAAAAACGCTACTCTATTATTTCCATTTCACGATACTGAAGGTTGTGGTTGTAACGTAACGAAACGAAAATGTTTATGGCTCACCTTTACCTTTACAAGGCGCTGATTGTTTTTGCTGGGATGTGGGACACTTTTGCTAACTGTGCGTTTCTGTCATCTGCCAGGATCTCTCATATATTCCTACAACCAATGAGAAAACGGTGACCTACAGGAGGGACCGTCCGCCGGACCAGCCCGTGGAGATGCACATACAGGTTCCCAAGATGTCTCTTGATGATCACTGGCAGTTCTAACCAGGGCACAAAGGTTGAAGTCTGAAGGAACGCGTCAAAGACAGAAAGAAGAAGAGCTGGACTGGAAACTTCTTTTCTGCTCCCTACACTCCCAGACATCAAGAAAACTGTATTTGAAGGACAAGACGATGCTAAACTTGACTCCAAAACCTCAATGGGGATTAGACTCTTTGATATGAACTAACCAAACCATGGGAGACTTTTTGACTACAGAGGCCAGTATCTTTTGAATCAAGATGAAACAAAGTCGCCCACCTCTTCTTCCTCTGCAGCAGAGAGAGGGGCCACAGGGTAAAGAGGGATTGTGAAGGTTCCTCTTTTCTTAGATATGCAGAGCAACTTGTCTGTCACATGGATGAGTGTGAGAGTGTCTGTGTGTGTTGTGCCTCTGGTTTCTATTTATGATTTGAAAATGTAACACTACATGTTTGAAGTTCATATTTGTTTTAGAAGGCATCGCTCCCCCTCCACCGTCTCTCTGGCTTTGTCTGCCCCCGTGTGGCCAACTCCATGTACTACGACCTCTAAAAAAACACAATTGACCTCAGCTGCATTAACTGTTCCACCAATGACTCCTCGCTCCTACTAACCCCTTTTTTCGTCGCATGTAATGGTTGATTAATGTTATTCTGTGTGTTGACCTGCTCGTTACGGGATGAATTTGCACTAGAAAGCTGCATTGTACTACTGAAAAACTATGGGCACTCTGGGACAGGAGAGCTGTGAACTTTTGGGCATTAGAGGTCGTCTTTGTGCATTCAAAGCTGATGAAACAAATTCACCACCCAACACTGGAACAAGAATGACCAAGATTCATATTTAAGATATGTATAATCGCAAAACAAAAACGGTTATTTATAGCGATGTATTGTCGGACACTTGAGCGCGTGAGCTCTGCCTCACAGCCATACTTTTTCCTGCTCTTGCTGAAGATCTATTTTCCAAAACGTCTGGACAACTTGAGGCTTTAAGGCACGAATGGGCTCAGATGGCACTGAGGACAGCAGTGGAATCTATGTAACCTTTATGCACTAGAAGAGATTACCTGAGACTTTTGCTTTTGCTCAATCCTACTCAAATTTCTAATTTTTCAAGTAGGTTTTTTTTGTACTGTTGTACTTTTTCTGAAAGTTTAAAACACTAATAACTATTTATTTTTGATCGAGTTACAGGAGATCTCCTATAACTCATAATAGTGCTGCACAATAAGACAGATACTGTAGTTTTTTTGTGTTTTTTTTAAGTGAACTGCGGAAGGTTTCAGCAATAAGTAGCATTATTAATCATCTCATCTAATATGGTACTGAGTTTTTACATGAAAACAGCACTTTTTCTTGGTAGATTTGTTGTAAGTTATTGCGTGTGACTGTTTTTATCACAATAAAATGTGCAAGATTTTGTTTAGTCATTACTTGAGTGTATGTGTATGAAACAGCGTAGCCTTATATAAGTAAGTCTTTACCATGTCAAATATCTATCTGAATGTGAAAAAAATAATAATAATGACCATCTTTTGATTTTAATTTTAGCATCTGAATCCAATGAAGTTTCGGTTATAATAGGTGTTTGATTACTGCAAATTTTTTTTTTTTTTGCAAAAATTAGTAATTCTATTTGTTTTTGTTTTTGTTTTTCAAAATAAAACATGTCTGTTGAATTAACTTGTTCAAATTCTTTATGAGAGGTGCAGGACACATCTGGAATCATATTATAGTCTTTATGAAGCAAAAGACCTGTAACAAAACTGTGGCCTATTAATTTAAATTTTTTTTCTAGATCTGCAAGGTAACCGTAATTCAAATTACGGAGAACAATATATCTTACCATCCAGACTCTGAATGGCATCTGAACACTGATGTATCAGAAACTATTAGAGGATGTCAACTCTGCATTTTACACAATTGATCACATAGAGAAACTTGGGAGAGAATTTCTGCTGCTTTTCGATGAGTTTGTCTTTTATAACTCTGAACAAAAATTTGGCATGTGGGGTTCCTCATGGTGCCGTTGTACGACCACTTCTATGCAATATCGACATGCTCCATCTAGTTTAGTTGTTTGCAAGCTGTGCCTCAACTGATTCTTAAAAATTACTGAAAACATTTTGAAAATTTTGATTTTTGCAGCAGTTCTTTGCTTTTTTTGTGAAATAATTGCATCGAATGTCCACAACAGAATGCTACTAAAAGTACCAGTAATATTTTTAGATGTGTGTGTAGGTGTGTGTGTGCATGTGTGTGTGTGATTACGGTTAAAAACTGTGCACTTATGTTTTACATAATTTTCTGTGAATAGCAACATCCCATTAAGAAAAATGCATCCTTCCTCTTATTTCTAAAATGTCATGTTGTTCTTTATTTTTAAGTCCAAAACTGGAAGTGAAATTCTATTTAAAACATCACAACAGTATTCTCCTACAGGAGAATTTTATAAAACGAAAAAGAAAGCAGGAATTGATATGTTTTTCTTTTTCTTTTCAAAAGGTAATGTAACATTGCCAATTCTAAACAGGTTTTATTGCTCTTTGAGTTGAAGAGGTTGCAATACAACCCTGTCTGACCTCAAGTTATTAAGTAGTACTACATTGTTCCACATGCCTAAGCTAATGAGAAAAAGAAACTTTACATTTCTGTGCAGCCAGAGAATCTATTTGTCTTCATTGTCATGTAGTGGAAAGATCAGAATATTCTCCAACTTAATCCAGACTACATAGAATTAATTTTATTGTCCCAGAATTTGTGACATTTGACTCACATGTGACTGAAAACCGCATAGCATGAATGTAGGTGCTCAGATTTCAGCCTGCTGCAATCTCTGATTAAACGTGTGTCATTGGCACAGAATGAATTTGGCAAAAAAAAAAAATTTGATAATGATAATAATAATAATAATAATCCTGGCAAACACCAGGAAAACGAGTCACATTATGAATCACATCAGTTTTTAACTCATTGCAACTCATTGCGGGAGATTTCTCCTGTTTTATCAATTTAATGCCAGGTACAAGCAATAATAAATTATAACAATTTAGTTTTGCAAAGTAAGATATTTAAGAACACAAACTTAAATATGTGCGTACTTGTCAGATGATATCAGGATGATTCAAAAGAATTATTGAATGTGAAAAGCACATGGAATAAATTAGGCGCAATGTATCAAACGTGCAGCAAGAAACTGAAGCAAACATTTCTTTTAAGTCTGCGACGATCAGATGAGGTAAGGAGACAGTGTTCACACACGTCACAACTGAAGTTAACCATAAAGTGCTATTTCAGTCTGTTAGTGTCCAAAGAAAACCCGTTTCAGGCTGCTGTCGTCAAATTCCCACATGTTGTGACTGTTTTTCCGACGGTCTCTCGAGCTTATCGCTCTGGCCGCCCTTCCCCGGGCCCGGTGACTCTCCCGGGCAACTAGAGGCGCCCCTGTCCGTGTCGCCGCTCCCTTTCTGGGACCCCGGGTCGACGCAGCCTTCGGAGCCCTCAGAACTGTGCGTCCTCAAGTGCTTGCTGAGATGGTCGGAGCGCATGAAGCGCTTCTGGCACATGGGGCACTCGAAGCGCTTCTCGCCGGTGTGCGTGCGCACGTGTCGCTGGAGCTCGTCCGAGCGCGTGAAGCGTTTCCCGCAGAAGAGCCAGTTGCAGACAAACGGCCGCTCCCCTGTGTGCCAGCGCAGGTGCGCCTTCAGGTGGGAGGTTTTGCCGTAAACTTTTCCACAGCCCGGGATGTGACAGCTGTGCACGCCCCTCCGCCGTGGACTCGAACCCCCCTGACCGTGTCTCTCTGCCTCCTGACAGTTTGGACAATCGCAGGTAGCTCTACCAGCGTATTTGCGCGACGAGGGCCGGGAGGGGCTGGGTAGAGGAACAGCAGGGGTCCTCGTCGGAGGAGGAGGAGGAGGAGGTGGTGCTGCGCTCGTAGACTCCGTGTAGGGAGGTGGCCGGAAGCCGTCAAACATGTGCTGCGGGCTGGGGAACAGGTGCTGAGACGCACCGGTGCTGTAGGCGGGGCTGTAGTCGTTACTGTAGCCGCTCAAGGCGCACTGTAACCCGGCTGAGTTCTGCGAGTCCACCCAGCTGGTGCCCATGTCCCACCATACCGCAGTCCCGTTGCTGACCTCTCCAGCTGGCTTTATCCAGGGGTCGTAAGGATGCATCCTCTGGTAAATCCCTGCTATGCCTTCCACCGAGGGTGGAAATTTTGGCATGAACACCGGGCGTTGAGCGGACGCGGAGTCAGAAACATCGTAATCATAGGACGGCACGGCGCTGTGGTACAGCGAAAAATCACTCCCTGAAGAAGAGCTTGGAAGCGTCACTGAGAAGGCGCTGGAGGCCTCTGATGTCAGTCCCGGACCATTATTCCTGGAGATCCCAGAGGAAACTGAATTCGCACTGCTGTTGGCCTGGAGAGTCTTTTTCCAGGTATGAAACCCTTTGGTGAATACCGGGACTCCGTCTGACACAGCAGGGGAGCAGGAAGGGGTCGGGTCCCCGATTCTACTGCAGGTGGCGGCCAGCATTGCCAGCGGGGTGCTGCCCAACCTTGGTTCTTCCTGGGGAGAAAAAAAAACAACAAAACAACCTTTATGGTTAAAGTTTGATCGTCTTCTCTGCCTGAAAATGCAAACAGTTTTTTGTGACACATTTTTAACTGCAACAGGTTAAAGTAAGTTTTGACACTTTGTAAGAAAGGGGGTCAGATTTGCATACGAAGAAATGTTCCCCAATACTGAACAATATATTAAAAAAATAAACACACTAAGTTACACCAAGTAATATTGACTAAATGCTACATAAAAAAAACAACAAAAAAAAACAGCTCTTTTCTGTAAACTTACGCCTAATGGTGCAGCCATAAACTGAGCGGTGATGTCTTCCTCTGACGGGGATCAATGTGTTTGTCTCTGAGTGTGTGTGTAGGTGTGTGTGTGTGTGTGTGTGCCCTGACTGGATCCAATCAGTCTGAGGTTTCGTCTCCGTTTCCTTTACCAGTTGTAGATCCTTTGCGCCTTTGAAGTGTCGTTGGGAGCTCCCGGGCCAATCAGAGAGCAGCGCGAGCCGTCTCCAAACATCTGCGCGCTAACAGGCTCGATGTCATCATAAATCCGAAAAAGTCAGCTCTCGCGAGCGAGCTCACTTCAGCAGCTTTTAAAAATAATCTCAGGTCTTTGAAGACAAAAAGTCCAGCGCACTAAGCTTGAAGACAGTGTTTATAAGTATGTATTTATGGCATTTGGCCAGTTTTATTTTGTTTTGACATTTATATAAATTTCCCATAAGAGATATCAGATTAGAAAAAAAAAAAAACGGACATTATGCCTCTTAATTTCCCTCTGGGATTAATAAAGCATTTTTGAAATGAAATCAATTAATGTCTACATTAATAAAGGGAAGCAGATTGAGATTTCATTAATCATGAAATGTATTCACTGATGCAATTTGTTATACAGAATAACTGATTTTGGCTTAGCACTTTATGGTTTATTTCCAATTGATTTAACTGCGTAAAAACTGAATGCAACGCAATAATTCTGAGAATAAATGTACAATTTACTAGTAAAACAAAGTAGAGAGAGTTTTGTGACTCAGCAATGAACCCTCACAATATTGGCTAAGCTTGTAGAAGTTGTAAGCTTTATTAAAAGTTTTGTTTTCATCTTTCCTCAGGTGGGACTGGGGAGGACGAGCAACCGATCGGATGTGGATTTCGGGACTCATAAAGATATATCGCATTAAATACCCTTTAAGGAAAATGTAATACTTCATCAGCATTCTTTAAACTCAAAGTGAAGAAATTTAAATGACCACTGTAGATAATATACCTCTGTTATTTATTATATTATTTCCCCTGATATTTGCTTTTCATTTGAATCAGACAGATTATGTGTCATATTAAAGGTGGAAAAAGAGTTTAAATGTTTTTAATACATATTCTTTTCTTGAATCATAAAACCAGAGGTCTGTAAACTTTTGAAAACCACTTTATACGATCTGTATGTTTTAAGACACTTTCTAAAGTAGAATCTTAAATGGGGTTTTTTGTGAGTGCGTGTGTGAGTGCGTGTATGTATGTGTGTATTTCTCAGTAGGCTGGCTTTGTCAGAGAATGCTAAAACCTCTAGTTTTATACATTTTTTTTTCCCGGATGTGAGGCCATGCAGAAGAAGAGGCTGATAAATGAGAGGCTGTGCCCATCCTGTCCCTGGGGCGTTTCCAGCCTGCCCTGGGGGAGGGAAGGGAGGACACCACCACTACCTCCGCAATTTCATCTCTTTTAACACCAAACAAATGTCTTTTAAACTACAACCCTTACTGTGCCTTTCTAAAGCTCAGCTAGTTTGAGGATTTAGTCTCACCTCTCGAGTGTGAATGAATAAATGGGAAATCCCATTCTTAAACTGAGCATAGTTGACTAAAATCTAGCCCCGAAAACCCTGGGAAATACCCAGAATGATCCCCATCTTCATAATCAATGGGCGAGAAGCACAAAGGGGAGGGATTTCATTTGAATTTCTAATTAAAGAAAGAAACAGCATTAAACTTGTCGTTTGATATTTTCTTTTCTTTCCATTCCTCTTATTTTTTTTCTTGCACGATCAGCCTGAGTGAAGTCAGATGGTCTCATATGCCATGAATAAGTCAATTACTATATATCTAAAGTACTAAACCACTCCCATGACCACACAAAGCTGTAGAGTCTAAGAGTAAATGTGAAGAATATTATTTAATAATTATGAAAAAATGGTAAAAAAAAAAAAAAAAAAAAAAAAAAATTAAAAAAAAAAAAAAAAATTTTAATTTTTTTTTTTTTTTTTCCTCCCAAGGGGGCAAAAAAGGG